CTTTCTTTCTTTCTTTCTTTCTTTCTTTCTTTCTTTCTTTCTTTCTTCCTTCCTTCCTTCCTTCCTTCCTTCCTTCCTTCCTTCCTTCCTTCACTTGGACTGGAAATGCAATGGCTACAGATGGCCCTGATTCCAGTGCTGATTGGTATGGAAGCTTTAACCTGCTCTTTTTTTCCCTAGCTGGACTGATTTGACCTTTGTTAGGAGGATTGGTGACTCTCTGCTCTAGAGATTTGTCAATATCAGTGCTGGATTTGGGATGGACACCCAACTGGCTTTAGCATTACTGTAGCTCAGAGCTACCAAATTCAAACAATCCACCAGTCTCAACTTCCCTCATTAGCAGGGATTAGAAGACAGTAATGTACTACCATATCTGGCAAGATGATATCCTTGATGAAAATTCAACAATTTGTGAAAAGTATATTCTAAAGCAGATCACATATTTTAGTCACACAGTTGACTATAAACTACTGAGAATACAAGATCCTATTATGTTTATTTTTTTTACTGTAAATAAAAGCTATGCAAATTCCTTGTAAGTGGGTATTATTTCATTCTTTGTACTTGTATCCCCAGTGCCTGGCATGTAGTAGACACTTAATAAATATTTGTTGATTGATTGATAAACCAAAATCCAGCCTTAAAGTTTCTTCTCCAATAAGCTATCTCCCATACATATGTTAAGATCACACAAGATTCCTTGATAGATGCAATGGCAGAGATAACAATCCTCCAGTGTGAAGTAGAACAAAAATAGGGACTTACATGCTTCAGCATTGTCATAGAAAATGTCCAGTACAGAATCCAAATGGAAGAGGGATTCCCCATACGTAATAATTTATCACTTGAAAGTTTAGCCTAACAAAACAGGAAAAGAATGCTTATTGTTGTGATTATGATGTGTGGTTAGATAGACAGATAATTGGCCTTGTCTATCAATATTAATATATTAAGCAGCCACTACAGATGAGGAATGAGCTTTTTTCAGAGTTGAATAGGAGAAAGAGAGTGGAAGCTGGGAAATTATACCGTGTTTTCAGTGACCCCAAGGGTGAAATAAAAATTTCATCTTTTTTTAACACAAATATTCTTCTGTGAATCTGTATGGCTACAAATAACGGTATGCAACAGTCTCTGAATGAACCAAACTGCAGGTCACACCAAGGGCAATGGTGAGATGTGTGGTGGTCATGAGTAGGTCTCTACATATTATCAATGATGAACTACCCATAAGAAAAGGTTTAAGAGTGCCAGAGAGAGATGCATAATTGGGAGAAGACTTAGGCTATGTAACAAAAAGAAGGGATTACAGATAGACTGGTAATGCTAGGAGAGTTAGTGGAAGGCTCCCAATATGTTGGATTGGCCTGCTATGGAAATTTATGGGAAGTGACAAATTAGAGTCACACAGGATGAAAATATATGAGTGAGTTATGATCTGCTACTTTGGTAGAAGAACCTACGTGGGTAAGATCAGATTCATTGAAGAATTCAAGTACATGAAGAAATTGTTTGAATCTATATTCCATGATGGAAGCTGCCCTCGTCATTCTAAGACCACAAGGATCTAGCATAAGCTACAATTAATACACTAAATGAATGTCTTATTGATTCTACCTCTACAATATCTCTTTCATCTGTCCCCTTCTCTTTCCTTGCAAGGCCATAAAGACTAGTTCAGGCCCTTATTACCTTTTACCTGGATAATTGGAATGACCTCCTAAATGGCCTCGTTTTCTCTGATCCATCCTCCCCAAGCTGATATTCCTGGAGCACAGATTTAACTCTCTTATTTTCTTATGCAGAAACTCCACTGGTTCCATATTCTCTAGGATAAAATACAAATTCCATTGTTTGGCATTTTAAACCCTTCACAATCTAGCTTTAACCTACTTTCCCAAACTTATTGTACTGTACTCCCTTTCACACACTCTATAGTCTATTCAAGACTATTGTTTTTCCTCACACATGCCGCTCCATGACCTTGCCTTTGCATAGGCTGTTGCTCATATTTAGAATAGATTCCCTCCTTACTTAGGATTCCTAGTTTCTTTCAAAGCTTGGCTCAAGCACCATCTCCTACATGAGGTCTTTCTTGATTTGCCCAGCTGTTAGTAGTTCCTCCCCAAATTATCTTGTATTTACTAAATTTACTCATGTTTATAAATGTTGTTTCACAATATGAGCTCCTTGAGGGCAGATTCTGTTTTGGTTTTTTCCTTCTTATCCCCATTGCCTGATACACAATAT